CCCCCCCCCCCCCCCAGGTTTCACTGCTGTACTTCAAAACCGGAGGGAGGGAAGGAAAGAAAGAAAGTTTTCCCTTTGCTTTTTTTAAGGAAAAGCAAAAATCGAAGCCTTGCACTAACGTCTATTAATAATTCAAAGCAGATCTATCTATCTATCTATCCAGTCATTTCAAAGTCAAATGTACAGCTCAAGAGCCCTCCCCAATCAAGCCAAGACCGGTGCACTTGAAGAAGGGGAACAGAAGGGGAAAAATAAAAGTAAAAAAACGGATCGCGGTACTTTACCGAGGTGTTACCAAATCAAGTGTAAACCAAACAGACCCGGGCAAGTGTCGCCGCAGCATCGTGTCCCGGTGCTGTCAAAAGCCCGGCGCGATGCAAGGCGACGGTACATCTTTTTTTAAAAGACTTGGCCAGGAAGTTTCGAGTCAGGAAAAGCAAAGCAAAGCAGCCAAAGCCGGCGTGTGGCAAGCCTTATTTGCAGGAAGGGCATCGTCAGCTTGAACAGAAACCAAATCGGAAGAGGCTACAGAAGGGCTCCGATTCCTTTTTAAGCAAAGCATCAGGATTTAGGAATGCTTTTCTCCCGCAAAGTCGGGGGGAGGAGGGGCTGGGGAAAGCGACTTGCCTGAATTTAGGAAGAATTCACCCAAACGTCCACGTCAAGTTGAAGTAATATTATTTTTTTTTATTACTATTTGCAACAAGTCAGGCTCGAGGCGCATCATCCGCCCTCGGCCCCGAAATACAATTTCACACCAGTCAAACTTTTGCTGCTTTTTCTTTGTTTGTTTGTTTTTTTTGTTGTTCGTTTTAAAGTGAAATTTGTACATAGAGTTAAATAATTTTTTTTTCACTTGGTGACAAACATTCAGGCAAACGAGAGAGAGGTAAGAAAAGAAGAACTAGACACGGATCGGAAAGTGTACCTGCGTGGGGGGCGGTGTGGAGGTGGCAAAGTCCGAGTGCTTCTCTAGTGGGGGAGAGGTTTGTTTTTTCAAAGATTAAAAAAAAAGAAAAGAAAAGAAAAAGAAAAGAAAGTTGGCAGGGGCAGGACAGAGGAGAGTCTCTTCCGTGCAAGGAGGGCGGTAGCGCTCTGGCCTGGCGAGCGGCGCCGGGCGGCTCGGGGAGGGGGTCCGGCGCTCCCGGTGCAGCACAAGTCCTGGGCCGGGCCGCCCTATAGCTTGTCCAGGCTTTTGGGGTTGGTGAGGATCTCCCGGGCTAGCCGCCAGGTCTGTTTGGCCGCGCTCTCGAGGGCGGAGTGGGGCTTGCCCTGAAAGAGGTCGAGGTTGGGCAGGAAGTAGTGGGGGCAGCGCCGGCACTGCAGGCAGGAGATGAGCTGCAGCAGGATGCCGTTGAGGCGGTCGCCCAGGCACGCCTCGTCCCAGTCGGTCTCCCGCGGGTGCTTCTCGCACTCGTACAGCAGCAGCGTCTTCATGTGGTAGTTGTTGAGCGGCTGGCCGGGCAGCTCTAGGTGCCGGTCCCGCAGGGTCTTGAGCACCGAGAGGCACTTGTTGCGGCAGCCGCCCATGAGCAGGCGGTTCTCGGCCTCGCCGAACTGCAGCACCCAGGCGTCGCTCTCGGCCGAGCTCTGCTTGCCCGTCAGCGAGTAGCACTCCTTGGAGAGCAGGTTGAAGCCTTCCGCCTTCACCTCGGCCACGCGGTTGGGGCCGGGCCAGGGGATGTGCGGCATGGGCCACTGCGCCGCGCTGCGGGGCCAGATGCCGGTGCACTTGAAGGCGGGCGTGATCTGCACCACGTAGCGCTCGCGGATGCGGAGCTTGACCTCGCTCGTGTCCGCGATCATCTTCACCACGTCGCGGTAGCTGCACTTGTCCACGGCCTGGGCCACCAGCGTCTGG